AAATAACATTAGCGTCCAGAAGATGAAAAGTGGTCCTGAACTTGTCAGAGAACTATCTGATATAAGATTCAGAGGCCTTTCAGGAGATTTCAGCCTTATTAATAGGCAACTACAATCATCAACTTTTCAGATTGCCAATGTGAACGAAAATGGAGAAAGAGGAATTGGATATTGGACACCCCAAAATGGACTTGTAAGAAACATATATCCGGATAAAAGTACCAGCAGATACTCGACTTCTACTGCCAGTCTTGGACCTATAATATGGCCTGGAGACACCACCTCAGTTCCAAGGGGTTGGCAGATTAGTGCGAATGGGACCTTAAAAATTCTAGTCCCGGTGAAGCTAGTGTTTGATGCATTTGTAAATGTAACGTATGATTTTAGAACTGGCACAACTAATGTCACTGGATACTGCATAGATGTATTTAATGCTGTAATGGAAGCATTGCCTTACGATGTTCCTTACGAGTTTCATCCATTTGCAATGCCTAATGGTGAGAGGTCTGGCACTTACAAAGATTTGGTCAATCAAGTATTTCTCAAGGTAAAAGCTCTTTTTCCCCCCTATTTTTTAAAACTTATTCCTTGGAAATTGTCGATTTGTTGAAAGATTAACATTTTTACTTGACAGAAGTATGATGCTGCAGTCGGAGATATTACCATTAGAGCAGACAGATCCTTGTATGTTGACTTTACGTTGCCATTCACAGAATCCGGGGTATCAATGGTCGTGCCTATCAAAGGAAACAGTGGTGGTAAAAGCACCTGGGTGTTCTTGAAGCCTTGGACCGGAGACCTTTGGGTAACAAGCCTCTGTTTTTTCATGTTCACTGGTTTTGTAGTCTGGTTCCTAGAACACCGAATAAACCAAGACTTCCGTGGGCCTCGATGTCACCAAATTGGCACTAGCTTATGGTTTTCCTTCTCAACCATGGTTTTCGCACATCGTAAGTTCCCTTCATGTTTAATCACTCTTTAGTGGTAATTATTCCTTGTAGAAACAATTGATATACACTCTACGAACTAAGCAAATCGACAGCTCTTTCTGCTAATGAACTAAGCAATTTCCATACCTTCCATCATTTTTCTTTGTTTGTGAGAAATAAACATCAAATGGTGAAATGAGCTTTATTTACATATATGATGCTTCGCTGATGCCATTTCTGTTGAATTTTTGAAATAGGGGAGCAAGTAATGAGCAACTTGGCTCGGTTTGTAGTGATCATATGGTGCTTTGTTGTCCTCATACTGATTCAAAGTTACACTGCCAGTTTAACATCGATATTAACAATCCAACAGCTCCAACCAATCGTTACCGATGTAAACCTTCTCATGAAGAATGGGGACAATGTTGGCTGCCAAGCAGGTTCTTTTATTTATGGGATTTTGAGTCAGCTAGGATTTCAGGATGACAAACTAAGGGTCTATAAGTCTGTGGAAGAGTTGGATCAACTTCTTCGAATCGGGACTGAAAATGGAGGTATTTCTGCGGCTTTTGATGAAACCCCCTACATGAAACTTTTCCTTGCAACGTATTGCTCAGAATATACCCTTGTTGAACCAACATTCAAAGCTGATGGCTTTGCATTTGTAAGTTCAATTGTTTCTCTTTCTCTGTTTGTCTTCCTGGGTTTCTCTCCTTCAATCAGTACATGTTTTCTGATGTGGGATTTTTTTTCCCATTGGGTTACCTGCAGGTATTCCGGAAAGGTTCACTTCTCACTCGTGATGTTTCAACGGCAATCACTAAAGTGCATGAGGGACATCAGATGAAGGCCATCGAAGACAAGTGGTTCAAGAAGAAAGCAAGTTGTTCATCAAACCCCTACACTGCGGGATCTTCCAATACTCTTAGTCTCGATAGCTTTTGGGGCCTCTTCATCGTTGCTGGGGTTTCTTCGTCACTAGCTGTTTTCATATTTGTAGCTATGTTTCTCTATGAAAATAGCCAAATTTTGACACGCGTCGATTCAGAAGCCTCATTTTGGACAAGAATTCGTGAAATATTAAGAGTGTACGACCAGAAAGACTGCACTTACCATGCTTACAGTAATAGCCAGCTGCAAGATAATGTTTGTGGTATAGCTGTGGTTGAATCCTCACCAAACACCAGCTGTTCCCCAAGGCCGTCGTCAAGCTCTTCCGACTGCTCTGAACCACACATTGTTAATCAAGAGCCGGTGGGAATTCCTAATTCTACCGAGCAGGGTGGTGTTCTTAGTCCCAATGGTCAAGCAACTCAAGACGGTACACATGAATAATCATTACATTAGAGTATTGCCCAAGTAAGCTATTGATTTATAGTATGTGGTTTCACAAAATTTGTAGTATGCTCTGTTATTTATAGATCGGGTGTTTTAGTTGTTAGATTTTTGTGACTGAATTATTGACCAAGACAATTCCAATCTCAACTGCCCATATCCTTCCACATGGATGCCATCGGCATGAAAAAGTTTGAGAGGTTTAATCAACTTAATGGGATTAACTTTTATATTCAAGATACCATTTTTATTTTTATTATTTCGCTTTCTTTTTTGAGCGTTCATACCTTTAATAAAAAATATTACTAAGATCAGTTGCACATACACGTAGACATTCATTACTAAGATTAGCTCAGTATGCGCGATTAATTCATGACCTTTAAATTAGAGAGAGAACTTGCTCAAATCAATCCAAACAGTGAATGTGTCACCATAACCACAAAAAGGTTAATACCTTTCGGTTCATGTTTTGAGTCTTTGACCTCCAAGAAAACCTGCCATGAGTAGGCCAACCCGACCAAGATTAGTAGATAGTTTAACATGACACGTGGCAAAACGACAACGTGCCGTACACCACCATACTCGTCATCATCCCCGAACCCGTGAGAATGCCCGTGCCCGTGTCCGTGCGAATCGTGCCCGTGGCCCTGTTCGGGTTATCTCGTCACGTGCCCATCACATGCTACCTGCCCATGCGCGTGGCTGTGTCTATGGTGCGCCGCGTGCGCATGCATCCCCACAATGTGCATCCCACCGCCTTCCTCTTCCCCAAACACCTTCCCATTCCACTCCTTCGCCGGCTGCCCCGGACCCACACTCGCCACAATCTCCGGGTCATCCGACCCGACGCGCACCTGGTCCTCGGCGGGCCGTGCCTTCCTCCGTTTTCTCTCGTAATACTGGGTCCCAACAAAGTCAACGAGCAACGTGGCAAGCGAGGCCATCATGGCGAAAAAACCGGAGAAGGGAAACTTGGTCCAGGGGAATTCAGGTAGGCAGGGTTTGTTCAGGGCGTCTGACCCGCCCGAAAGCATGTGGACGAACCCGGTGGCAAGAAATACGCCGGCGGCGATGAAGAGGCTACCGTCGGTGCGAAGAAAGCTGCGGTTCCTACCGACGAGGGGAATTGCGACTCCGACGACTCCTGCGACGAGAATCAAGGCGACGGCGCTTAGCTTGAGGACGAGCGCCACCGACTCGTCGCGGCAGGCCTCGAGCTCCGCGCTCTCGCAGCTCGTGTTGGACATGGACTGCAAAAGGGACTCTGTTTTGAGCAACAGAATTGCAAAAACAAAACAGATTTTAGAAAATCGAGACTTGTTCTTGTTCTTTAATTTGTTAATTAGGGTTTAGTCTTAATTTAATTCAATTTCAGAAATACCAATTGGGATTTTCGGAGTGGGAAATGAAATTAATTAGTAATTACCTTTGAAAAGCCGAGACTTTTCCAGGGAACCTGGGGGGCAGAGCAAGGGCCAGAGATCCTACACAAAAACGCAGCGCTTGAATCAGAGAATTGCAGAGAAACGGGGAAATCGAGAGAGAGAGAGAGAGAGAGAGAGAGAGAGAACCTCAATGAACAACATGGGAATAGTAGTACGTGGGTTTTGTTTTCCTGGGTTCTATAAAAGATAGAATCTTGTGAAAACTGATGATCTGATTGCCCAACACGAATCCCGATATAGTTGATTTCTTTCGATCAGGCGGAGGAGACGAGTTCGGTCATGGCGTGTTGGGAACAGGGGTGACAAATACTCATTGGTTATTGATAACCGTGATTATCCGTCCATTTAAATTAAACGATTACGGTTATGGATAACCGTTTAGATAAATAAACGGTTATGAGTATTACCATTTATCCGTAAAATTTAAATGAGCAATTATGAGTATTAACCGCGGCTATAAACGGGTAACCATTTACCCATTTATTTTATATATGTAAAATTAACACAAACCATGTTCTCGATCCAATAATACTAAGCACCCAATAAATTAACAAGGAATTCAACGGTCCTTCTCTCAATAACACTGCTACAGGCATGATGATTCTCATCATCAAGGAGTTTTTGCATAACAAACTCTATGAGTGATTTATTCAACCAGCCTGAGTTTGTTTGACCATAATGAATGTCATCTTTGATTAATATCATCTGCAAGAAAACAACTTGCTTTCCACACATCAATAACCACTCATCTCTAGAGGCAGTATCTTTCTCCAGCTCAACGAAATCCATCCGAATCCATATGCCTTTTTTTGGATTAAACTTGGCTTGGATGAGAGGTTTTAGATCTCTTGAGATGAAGGTGGATTCTGCTACTGTTGTGACTCTTGTTACTTGAAGATGGACTGGAAACTCTCCTCCTCTGCTTCTTCAAAGCTCAAAACTTTCACACTAATTGGATCAAATAAGCCTTGTTTTTAATACCCTTTTGGAGTTTGTTCTTTAAGTCTGTTAAATTTTTTATTTATTTTTTTGTCTGATTTGAATATGTGGCTTTTGTCTCCCAATCTCAAAAGCATATAGTTTTATACATGTCAGTAATAATCCACAATATCTCAATTTTTTTCCAAGCAAAAATAAATATCTCAACAAGTCAGTGCTTCATTTGGTATTCTTCTTTCCAGTTCCATATGTTCTATAAATATCTCAAAATCTATTTACATCCCTTTGTTCTATAAAGAACAATTGATATGTAAAAATTATCTTATTTACATCTATGTAGTTATAATACGCATTAAAAATATATTGTTTTCTAGGTCCCAACTTTTCACATTGTTGTTCAGTACTTCACTCTTCTGTGCAGCAAAGAAATGTTTTTCTTGTACCATGCATAGGATTTTTAGAAATGGATCAAAACTAACATGTGATATAGAACTTCTGTGTTTCACCTACTTATTGATTGGGTTACAATCTCAGCACGAGAAACTCATTCCATGATCTGAAAAACATGGAAGAATTGTATAGCTAGAGTAGACAATCTAACCTTCAATTTTTGAAATACAAAATAGGATAAATTTGCTATATGGAGATCCCACAACAGAACCAACTTATAAATATTCTAAACTCTCATCCAAAATTCAAACTGTCTGCAATTCTATACAAAAATATAAACTTGTATGACAATTACTACAATTCGAAGTAAAATTTAACATATGCAATAGTCGAATTTAATAACTCAACAATATTAATATTCTCAACAGAGAGAAAAAAAAAAAAAAAAAGAGCACAAAAAACTGAAACCCAATATAAAAAAATTCAAGACTTTGTATAGAACATAGGCTTTACCTTTCTTCAAGAACTGCAATTGAAATTGTAGCAGTTGCATTTGTTGGGTGGTGGGAGTCATTTCGCCGTGCAAGAGTTGCTGAAAATTTACCAAAATCTTAGTAAGATAGAAAAACAAAAATAGTAATCACAAAACTCAAATTTAAAGCATAGTTTTGTAGCTCCTAAATTTTTTCTAAGGAATGCAAACACTCTTGCCTATCTCAGATGGCTATAACTCACGAATCCAAATCTCATTGAATCAAGCCTATTCTCTTAAACCAAACATGAAATTGTTTCATGATCTGCAACTAATATGATTTACAACTAAAAAATAAAAATAAAAATAAAAAATTAATCAACTCGAAATCAAATATAAATCCAATTCAATTTAAACCTACCAAGCATAACAGAACAAATCATAGATGAACAATCAATCAAACAGAACTGAATGAGACTTAGCTGCTTCAAAAATTTCACATTAAACCCAATTATAAAGCACAAAATCCTACCCAAAAATGAAAACAATGATAAAACAAAGCAAAAATCGAACAAAAGGGGATGGGTACCTCTGTTTTTGACTCAAGATCTCTGCGTGCTTTGAATTTCTGCATACAAAATATATTACTTCTGTAACACATGATAAAATTTGGAAGGTCTTTAATAGCTCTACTCTTCGTGTCAATTGATTTTTATGATAACATCCTGAGTTGGTATATAATAAGATTCATGTTTGCTTATGATTTTTTTTTTTTTTTTTTAATTCCCAAGCAAGAGGATTAGTAATGGTAAAGCTAAAGTTTGGGGATCCATGTGTGATTTGGCTTTTGATGTTCAAATGAAGGAGAATGCATTTGTCAATGTCAGTTGGTAAATATTTGATCGAGTAAGAACTATGTTTAGCCACAAAATACTATCATGAGTCAGATGGAAGCATTAAGGATTAATTTTCATTAATAGTATTCAATCTATTTGCAGACATTTTGTATGATAATCCTTTTTGAGTTGTTAGTCAGATCAATAGGGGATTAAATTTAACTAAAATGTTAACGCATTTTAACTAAAATGATAATACAATTCAATATCCTTCTCTTTGAATTGGACATTAAGTAGAAAATATTACCCACAAATCATCCAAATATTCATAATTATGCATGAAAAATAGAAATTCGAAAAATAAAAATTAAATCACTTACATGGCGGGTCTTCAGCAAGAATAGCATTGTTGCAACCAAAATTGATACCAATAAGCCGTACGAATCTTATTGATTATGAGTACCAATTTTCTGGATCGAGCACTGCGGGGTAAGATCTGCACTTGTGGGTAAAATCAAATTAGGTTGTATTTAATCATAGGTGCACCAGAAAATTATAAAACCCCAAGATGACCAAGAATTCTATGATCAACCCTGTTTTTCTTGTCTTCATCTTACTCTTCTTCTTTACCAAGTTTGGTCAAACCTTTCAAAAAATTTAACCATTTGCCAATTATAACTGTTTGAGCAAAACCCAAAAGTTGCATTAATTTACTTTGCGAAGAAATGTTCTACGTCGAAAGTTAAGCAAGCCCATGCACGGGAGTTTAAGGAGTTGGACTACTTCATATTGTCAATTGATTTTGTGGTGAAACCTCAACTTTGACTTTCCATCTAAAAAACAAGTACAAGAAAACTACTTAGTATAAAAAAAATCATTAGAGTACAGAGTATAAACCAAGTCTCCTGCTTCAGTTTAGAAGAAGGTTCATTGAATCAAATTCAAATGCGCTGATGAATGCCATTTCTTCAACACAATGGATCAATGTAGCTGTGGCAAAACTGTTTTGACTCACTGTATCCACCATTACTTATTTTTCTTCTGAGGTAAATACTGCTTTATTCAATTCTTTCTTGTATTCGAATTATGAAAAACCATACCAGCTTGTCACGAGAAACCATACACGCTTGTTTCTTAAGAATGAGGATGAAATTTCTTCGAATTCCCCCTTGATCAGCAGCTATCAAGGCAGCTAGTGACTCAGTGGTAAGGGGAAACTTCCTTATCATCAACACCATCAATTTATTCCAGCCCATTCAAAAGAGCATACAAACATGACCAAGAATTCTATGATCAACCCTGTCTTTCTTGTCTTCATCTTACTCTTCTTGTTTACCAAGTTTGGTCAAACCTTTCAAAAAATTTAACCATTTGCCAATTATAACTGTTCAAGCAAAACCCAAAAGTTGCATTAATTCATATTATCAATTGATTATGTGGTGGAACCTCAACCTTAACTTTCCATCTAAAATCCAAGTACATGAAAACTACTTGGTACAAAAAAAATCATTAGAGTATAGAGTACAAACCAAGTCTCCTGTTTTAGTTTAGAAGAAGGTTCATTGAATCAAATTCAAATGCGCTGATGGATGCCATTTCTTCAACACAATGGATCAATGTAGCTGCGGCAAAACTATCTTGACTCACGGTATCCACCATTACTTATTTTTCTTCTGAGGTAAATAGTGCCTTACTCAATTCTTTCTTGTATTCGAATTATGAAAAACCATACCAGCTTGTTTCTTAGGAATGAATAGGAATTTCTCTTCTTGTATACAAAACGAAAAACCATACCCGCTTGTTTCTTAGGAATGAGGATGAAATATCTTCGAATTCCCTCTTGATCAGCAGCTAGTGACTCAATGGTAAGAGGAAATTTCCTTATCATCAACACCATCAATTTATTCCAGCCCATTCAAAAGAGCATACGAACATGACCAAAAATTCTATGATCAACCCTGTTTTTCTTGTCTTCATCTTACTTTTCTTCTTTACCAAGTTTGGTCAAACCTTTCAAAAAATTTAACCATTTGCCAATTATAACTGTTTGAGCAAAACCCAGAAGTTGCATTAATTTACTTTGTGAAGAAATGTTCTACGTTGAAGGTTAAGCAAGCCCATTCACGAGTTTAAGGAGTTGGACTACTTCATATTGTCAATTAATTTCGTGGTGGAACCTCAACCTTGACATTCCATCTAAAAAACAAGTACAAGAAAACTACTTAATATAAAAGCATCATTAGAGTACAGAGTATAAACCAAATCTCCTGCTTTAGTTTACAAGAAGGTTCATTGAATCAAATTCAAATGCGCTGATGGATGCCATTTCTTCAACACGAATGGATCAATGTAGCTGTGGCAAAACTGTCATTGACTCACTGTATCCACCATTGCTTATTTTTCTTCTGAGGTAACTACTGCTTTACTCAATTCTTTCTTGTATCGAATTATGAAAAACCATACCAGCTTGTTTCTTAGGAATGAATTCTAAGGAATGATAGGAATTATGAAAAACCATACCAGCTTGTTTCTTAGGAATGAATAGGAATTATGAAAAACCATACCAGCTTGTTTCTTTGAAATTTCTTCTTCGTTTGAATTTTCAAATTGATTGTTGTTATATTCAAAATTCTACCGACTATCATCTTATAAATAAGTTTCTTAGCCTCCCTCACCCCCGGCCATGAATTCCAAACCATCCAAGAGAGAGTATTCAAACATGACAAAAAACGCTATGATCAAACCCGTCTTTCTTTTCTTCCTTTTCTTTAAAATTTTCTTCGTCGGGGCACAAAATACAACATTAATCCCAGTACATGTGGGAGTGGTTCTTGACTTGGACACCGGGTCTGGGAAAATGGGGATGAGCTGCATTGACATGGCCCTCGCCGACTTCTACGCCTCTCATGCAGGCTACAAAACCAGGCTGGTCCTACACAGAAGGGACTCTGCAGAAGATGTTGTTGTTGCAGCTACTGCAGGTTCTTTCTCTACCTCTTCTCTTTTTTGTGTGTTCTTTTTTCTTCTATTACATATGTTTCACTATCTATTAGAATATTAAAGGTGTTGATTCCCAATTGGTTCAAATGGTCGGGGTCTTCCACGTTATTTGGTGTGGTTCGGTACTTTCACTTGGAGATGCTAAATGTCTGTGATCTGTGACAGACCAGGAGTCGGGTCAACCCGGGTTGGGCTAGGGTTGGAACCGGGTTGGGCCTTAGGGTTAACTGGTTTTAGGGTTTTGGGTTTAGGATGAACGGGCCGAAGGCCCTGGGCTGCACAAATAAGGGCTTAGGCTTAAATGCCCGGCCCAGAGGCTTTTGGGTTTTTGAAAGAAAATAAATAATTAAAAATAAAAACTAAACGGGCTGGGTTTTGGGTCTAACAAGCCTAAGGCCCGAGTGCTAAACGACCCAAAGGGCCTGGGTTTGGTATCTTGCCGGGGAAGAAGGCGGAGCCTTCCGTGCTCCGGTCGACGGCCAAACTCCCCTATACTCTACGATCTAACTAGGAAATCGAAGGTAGAGACAAAAGGGAGAGATCATTACCTTTGGTTTGCCGTGAAAATGACGAAGATGGACGGAAATCTGGGTTCAAGGGTCACGGGTGCGCCGTGGGTTTTCCTGGGTTTATAGACTTCACCGAGCTCCACAGAGGTGAGGGAGAGTGAGAGAGAGTCCACGAAGCTGCTGGTGGTGCTGCGCTGTCGTCGTGGTGGCTCAGGTGTGTGTGGGTTCGATCGGGAAGGGGATTGAGAGGGAGAGGTTCAAGAGAGAGATAGAGGGTGAAAAAGTGAAAGACGGTGAGAGTTCCGAGAGAGCTTCGGGGGAAGGAGAGGAGAGCTCTGAGAGAGGTGTAAAGTGCACGGGAGAGGGAAGAAATAGAGGGAAAGGGAATTGAGCCCCAAGGGACAAAACTAAAACACGTGCGGGCACACAAATTAAGACCCCAAACAATTTTTAAAATTGGGGTTTCATAGTTATAATACTTCGTTTTTATATATATACTATCAAATTTCGAATTTTGTTAATTAATTCTTGTTCTTCTTCAATTCACATGTCTTTAATTTTATTTGTTTTCTGAAATTGCTCCAACGCGGCTCGTCCAATTGACCCTGGTCAGTTAGGCTTAGTTGGGTAGAACCAAGTGGTTGGGTTGGATTTGTATCGTGGTCAACCATTATAATTTTCTAGACATGCTTATTTCTAGCTGAAGTTACATCAGAGTTTAATTAATTTCCATTTTTAACCTTCGAAACAGCTCTAGACTTGATAAAAAATGAGAAAGTGCAAGCCATCATAGGGTTAGAATCATCAATGCAAGCCAGCTTTGTAATTGAGCTTGGAGATAAAGCTCAGGTGCCCATAATCTCATTTTCCGCAACAAGCCCTTCTCTTCAGGGTTCATACTTTTTCCGAATTGCGCAGAATGACTCATCTCAAGTTAAAGCCATTAGTAGTATCATCCAAGCCTTTGGTTGGACTGAAGCAGTGCCCATCAGCGTCGACAATGAGTTCGAAAGGGGAGTAATACGGTACCTGACTGCTGCTTTGCAAGCAGTTGGTGCTCATGTGCCCTACCGGAGTTTCATTCCTTCAATCGCCACGGATGAGGAACTTGTTGCAGAGCTTCGCAAGTTGAAGTCAATGCGAACCAGGGTCTTCATAGTGCATATGTCCCCTTATCTTGGCTCTCAGTTTTTCTCAAAAGCTAAAGACTTTGAAATGATGGATGAAGGCTATGTTTGGATAATGACGAATGGGATGACCAGCCGTTTTATTTCCTCGAGTTCTTCCGTCGACATAGATAACATGCAAGGGGTGTTGGGTTTAAAGACTTATGTTCCCATTACAAAAGAGCTTGAAAGTTTCAGAGCTAGATGGCAAACAAAATTTCGACAAGACAATCCAACTATCCCTAGTGTTAAATTGGATGTTTTTGGATTGTGGGCGTATGATGCTGCTTGGGCACTAGCCGTGGCAGTTGAGAAGGTTGGAACAGCAAACTTCCGCTTCCAGAAGATGAATGATTCTGGCAATTCCACTGGTTTGGAGAGATTAGAGGTCTCTCAAAGTGGTCCTGAACTTGTCCGAGAATTATCAGGTACAAGATTCAGAGGTCTTTCAGGAGATTTCAGCCTTATTAATAGGCAACTAAAATCATCAACTTTTCAGATTGTTAATGTGAACGACAATGGGGAAAGAGGGATTGGGTATTGGACACCCAAAAATGGACTTGTAAGAAACATTAAATCGAACAAACGTACAAGCAGACATTCTACTTCGAAAGCCAATCTTGGACCTATTATATGGCCTGGGGACAGCACCTCGGTTCCAAGGGGTTGGCAGATTAGTAAGAACCGGACCTTAAAAATTCTAGTCCCGGTGAAGATAGCGTATCATGAATTTGTAACTGTAAAACATGATTCTAGAACTGGCACAACTAGTTTCAGTGGATACTGCATAGATGTCTTTAACGCTTTGATAGAGGCATTGCCGTACCCAGTTCCTCATGAGTTTCTTCCCTTTGAGGAGCCTAATGGTGAAAGAGCTGGAAGTTACAATGATATGGTCTATCAAGTAGCTCTCCGGGTAAAACCTCTTATTC